GTATAACGGGTATTTCTTACGTGCTGCTAATTTTTACGAGTTTTATAAATCCGTAAAATTTAAACGCGTAAAATTTCACAGAAGTAAAAACGCCTCGCCTAAATTTTGAACATCGTATTATGAGAGTATTTCAATGCTATCATTGTCATTTAGCTAAGTACCTGGAGGCTATAGAATGGATTAAAGTTTAGGATCAAATAAGTAAATCTTAATTAATGCACAAATTATACAAACATCGTCAATTACCTGGTTCCTCTGACGGTACGCATTATTTCTGATAATGGCTTAATTATTACAGACTGAAGTCTTCAAATTATATCCGTTTTCATGACTTTGACCCTTTCTTCTTTTTATTTGCTTTCAATAAAAACTTCGACATTTTAATACATCCTAATCCGTGTCCCCTGTAATTCTGTGAACTTAATAAGGATGGTTTGAGTTGTCTCTCTTTGTTTTCATTAAAATGAAGACGGGCACATGGTGCGCAAAAATAATGATGCGTAGACATGTGTATTAATTGACAAAGGAATAAATTCGGGCATGGCATCTATAAAGGTATTTAAATGAATAAATATATCGTTATCACGGGAACAATTTCGTTGTTATTTGACATCGGGTTGTCCAGACATATTTAAAACACGTATATGTATGTTAACGCATTCAAAACGCTAAAACATTGATCTGGAACTTCACCTCTGATGATTTTAATTTTTACGGACATGCTCAATTTGTGAAAATTTGACGCGTAAAAAATAAAATCACCCTATTTCAACAGAAATTCGTAAAAATTTACAGCAGTAAAAATTACCCGTTATACGGTATATTTATTAATATAAAAATTACCTTGTCTTCATCTGAAAACATTGTCCCGGGGAAGCTAGATTGTAATAGTGAGTCGAGGGTTTGTCTATTAATTCCGTATAAGTTTCGTGTGACCAATAACAATGCCGTGGCTCTCTGTAAAAATTTGATCACCTCTCTACCCACCGTTTATTACTTGTATGTATTTTCAGTTTTTCATTAATAAGAAGATGATAATTATATGAATTTTAAGCAATTCTAAAATCATTTTTATTGAATTTTTTTTATATCTGTTTTTTGAATTTGAATAATATTTACCAGATTTTGAGTGAATCTTGCAATCTGTTTAACTTCATGTGGGTGAATGACCCTTCCTCCTTGTGAACTTAAATATTTCAGATATGCCTGTAAGTATAATACAAACAATTAAGTTAATATAAAAATTGTTTTTCTCAGGTCACATTTAATAAATATAGTGATATATTTTAGAGTTACCACATCTGGATTTTTCCCTACAGGTATGCAGAAGATTGGATGCTGCCTTCCTAGCTGCTTCACCACATGGTGAAGATGATCCTTTGCCTAGGATAAAAAAGGACTTTTAAGCCATCAAAATTGAAAAAAGGGAGAAACTGTCTGGGTTTGTCTCTTTGCACACTTCTTTCCTTTCCATTCTTCTTATTTTATCATTCAATGGCGGGGGTAGCCGGTCGGGATGAGATGCTCACTCCTCCATGGCACCTGATCCCACTTCTGATGTTTTAGAGGTCCGTGTTTGCTCTACCCCTAATTTGCTATATTAAAAGAGTCTTTGAGCTTGAATACTGTTCATTATCTCCAAATTTTTATCTAAATTAAAGATAAAACGGAGTACTTAGTATTCATAATTAGACATGCAAGCTTACGGCAAGAGGGCTTGTCGATCAAATATGTCATATTTTAGAAGCAATTTTTATTAAAATGTTTCCAATTAAAATTTTATACCAGTTAATTAATCATTACCTCCTACCTGTAAGGTTTGAAAAAAAGGCGAATCCTCCTCATCAGAAAATATGTGGAAATCTGTTGGTCTCCCATCAGATATCAGAATAATTCGTGGTCGAACTTTGAATTCACATATTCCTTTTGAGTAGCCTTTGCAAATATAAATATCGTATTAAACAAAATATGACAAATGTTATAAAATGGATGAATTCTTATTAATTAATTATGGATACGATACATAATGTGAATAGTCTTAACTGCACCAGATTCAAGGGCTCCAATGCTTAATAAAAACGCCGCTGTCAGTGGAGAGAGTCCCCCATATTCTAACGCTTCTTCAAGATGAAAGCAATGAATTAAAAAAAAAACAAACATACTTTTTAAGTTTGAAAATTATATTTCTAACGGATATAAATGTTGCAACAAATAATTTTAAATAGAAAAAAAAAATTATTTTGCAATACAATTACGTGTACCTAGACAGCTTTTGATTTCAGAGTAACGATTTGAATAATAATGTTGAAATCTCGTGATTTTTCCACAAACAATAACAGTGATGTTCTCATCTTCCTGTGGATGATCAGCAAACTCTGACAATGAGAAATGTGACATACGATTGATATGTATGTAGGTATGTAGATCATATATAAATATAAAGCATTTATTTTTAAGCCCCCGAAATCGAATTATATACCATATATCGGATTTTCTTGGCGGGTGTAAAATTTTGCGTTTTGCCTTTTAAAGGTATGCCAAAAATTTTTGAGTCATTTCTTTTAGCAGAAACAGTGTTTCAACTCTGTGCAGATGATCACACAGAAAAGAACTGAATATCTTAGCGATAAATATTTTAGCGGGCTACCATCAAAGCGCCAAAATAAGGCAAAATTAGCACCCCGCTAAAATAACCCGCTTTACGTTAGTTTTCTGTCGTGTCCGTCCTTCTGTCCTGCTGTCTGTTTTTCTGTTTGTCCGCAAAAACTTTAACCTTGCCCATAATTTTTGATTCAGTGGAGTTATGAATTACATATTTCACATGTGTATATCTTTTGACAAGATATTTCTTTGGGTACAACCAAATTTGACCTTTTGACCTTAGAGTTTGACCGATTTTCTCACAAAAAGTTTTACTTCGGCCATAACTTTTGAACGGTAGACACTAGCTAGCTATAGGATTTTCATATTTCACATATATATTTTTGTGATGTGACCTTTCATTGGATACCAACATTTATGACCGGACCTTTTGACCTTGACCTTGGAGATTTATGGACATAATTTTTTTTAATATTGGCCATAACTTTTAAACGGTGAGGGCTAGGGCTATCAAATTTCACATACTATTATGTTATTCTTGTTAAAAGATCTTTCATTGGATACCAAGAACTTTGACCTATGGTCTTGACCAAGGAGCTTGATCTACTTAAAAAAACCTTGACCATAATTTTGAAAGGTTAGGGCCAGGGCTTTCATATTTCACATATTTTCGCCATGTGACAAGACCATTCATTGGATACAAAGAACTTTGTTCCTTTGACACTGACCTTAAAGTTTGACCTACTTCTTAAATAATTTAAACTTGGCCATGCCTTTTGAACGAGCGGGGCTATGACTTTCATACTTCACATTATATGGTCCTTGTGACAAGACCTTTCTTTGGAAATCAACAACTTTGACCTTCTAACCTTGACCCTGGAGCTTGACCTACCTTTCAAAAACTTATCCTTGGCCATAACATATTTGAACAGGTGGTGCTAGGGCTTTCATATTTTACAATTGTATTTTTTGTGAGAGGATCTTTCTTTTGATACCAAGATATTTAATTGGCATTTAAGAAAAGTTGAATCTTCGCTATGTTGCCATACAGTGACATTAGTGTTTCACAAGGATATCTTCTTTATATTTAAATGGTTAGAATGTATATCTTTCATACCAAACGTTTATTTACTTTAAAGACATTCATAAAAAAAATTATATATAAATTATTAATCTATTGTTTATGTTTACATACCATTAATAATTGTAGAAAATATATCCTTTATTTGATTGAAACCCTCTTCGCCAATACTTTTAGAAGTATCCAAAATAAAAATATTGCAAGGTCCATTCCCCTGCTGATACCGAAGCTCAACATCTTAAAAATAAATAAATCTTTTTGATCGGTTTAATACTGATATATGAAAGTGTTAATGTGTCTTATCATAAAAAATTAACCAAATCTATTCATGAATAAAAAAAACAACTAATTTTGTATATTTATTCATAGGAACATTTTTTTTTAATTTTATATTAAGATTTGTAAATCAATATTTCTTCGAAGTGGTCAACATTATAATAATATTTTTCTTTCTATAGCTTATTTTTGCATTATGTAAGCATTTTCTTCTTAAAGTAAGTAAAGTCTGAATTAAGAAAGTACAGAACATTGTCTTTGTACACACGTTTTGCTTATACAATATATATATATATATATAGTAAGCCAATGACGAAAACTTGTCTTCGATTTCAAAAGTTTATTAAATAATTCCAATTTACAATTTTTCCGGGATCGTATAGTTTTAGAAATATTCGTTCCTGAAATATGATCAGAAGAGACCAATACACTTTTTATCTAGATATCCAAAGGGTCCGTCCATAAGATAAAGAGTTTAAGATTGAACTCCAAATAATAAATAAACAAAAGTCCAAAAGAATGATTCCCAGAATAATATAAAGCCAAAGAGATGTAATAATTTGAGAATAAAAATGGGAATAAAAACGGGAATAGGAATGAGAGCGGGAATAAGATCGGGAATGAAGATCGGGAATGCTCTTTCCTGACCAAAACAGGGTATTTTGTGCTCAGTGGGTATCCATGATCCCGGATATAAAAATACATTTCATTGGCTAATTCACCATCACCAACCACCTACGCTTTGTCCGTAGGTCTGTCCGTTGACCTATGAACCCCAACATGGCACCACCCTTAAATGCAGGTAAATACTCATTACTAATATTTATGGGCTCAGTCCCCATCTCTGCACCACAGGAGTTCTAGCCCTAAGCTCTTATATTTATTTACTTCAAAGTTCCCAATTTTATTGCTCTTAGTCAAAACTCTTAATAATACCATTGTATTTCCGTTCAAATTTTATTACTTACTATCGATGGGCTTGATTGGTCTATTCGGATCAATTTCATTACAAAATGATCTACCAAATTAAAGTTCATTAAAGTTCATTGGAACAACAACAAAATCCAATTTGTTTTGACAAGATAATAATTGTTTACAAAATTAAACAAAACTATGTTAAAGTTAAAGAATTTGCGTCACTAATAATATACATTCTGATTTAAGAAACCTTTATATCATTTTACTTTCACTACTAATAACTAAAAATGATTATAATATTAATATTGTCTAAGTTTAAAATGTTCAAACAATATGTCTGTGCTAAACCCTATAGGTTTACAATATATATATATATATAACCCTATAGGTTTACAATATATATATATATATATATATATATATATATATATATATATATATATATATATATATATATATATATATATATATATATATATATATATATATATATATCTTTACATATAAAAGGTTTTTATTCATAATACTGGCATGAATGCATGTAGAAAGGTAAAGGGTATAAGCACCACTCCCTAGTCTTTTCAACTAATTTGTACAACACAAATTTGGTTTTTAAGATTAAACATGTGATTCACTTGTTTTCACGCCAAAGAAAAAAATGATTAGGCACAATCATACTATATTCTTTGTCTGTTGATGTTAACTCGGCTATTGTTCGTTATGATTGAAATCTCATCAATGACGACTTACTCTTTGTAGCCTCAATGCTAGCTTGGTTTCTCCAAAAGGTTTCAGCATCCCCGATTCCAATATCCATATCTCTATTTTAGTTCATGAACGTTTTTCTTTTCTCATCAAGTATTTTGTAGTTTTAAAATCATTGCTTTATTGAGCATTATAACTTTAATTCGCATGGAAGAGTGGTGAACCTTATTTCTAATTTGTACTTCCTTGTAGCATTTTGAAATTTCCGTTTCGAAGAGTAGAATTTGGTGTGATGAAGTAACTATGGTACATCAACACGTCTCCTGTTTCTATAAATATTTTATATTTGAATGACATTTTTCTTATCTATAATTGGCCTTACATAACCTAGTATCATTTATTATAATGATAATTGTTACAAGTTAAATCGTTTCAAAGTAATCTTATAAAGAACAACTGGACATGTTTGTGACTAGATGGCCATTACAATCCATTCCAATTTTTTTTTTTAGAAGAGACACCCTAAACCATAAATACCCTGTACTCCTTTCAAAAAGAAAAAAAAAGAAACAAAGATGTTGGTTTAGCAGATGATCAATAGCACAGACCGTTATATTTATAACTCAGATAATTTCATACTGAATGAATGTGAACTATGCAAAACTTTGCCAAAATATGGAAGTGGTCCATAATAAAACAAAGCATAAAGTGCAGCATGATAAAATATACATCTGACTTCCTGAACATTAAGAGCCATTCTCTATAAGAACCAAAATTTCTCAATAATCGGTGGAAAGGTGATGTCACCGATTTTGATCAAATTTTATGATTATTACTTATACAACACCCTTTCTTAAAATTTAGCAAAAAAAATTTAATTGGGGGTGCCGTTACCATGGTAACCACACATGGCTCTGATATGGCCTCCTGGATGCCTCTCACAACACGGTTTTTGGCATTTTTTAAAACAAAAAAAAATCAAACAACCGATAAATTTGAATATAAAGTAAATATACCTGCTAAAGAACAAGACTGAAAGCAACAAAAATGATACAAGTTATATACATTTGTCTATCACCATTGTATCTAATTTAATCATTAAAATCACAATGTTTTGCTAAATTGACCGTTTTTGGAAAATTGCATTTTTTATACATTTTTGAGCATGAATTGAATAAAAACGCAGAGACATATTTTCATCTCAATCAAGTATAATGTGAATTTGAACTTAATGAAAAATATACTAAAAAATAAAAGGTGTGTTTTTTCTTAAATCCAAAATAATTGACTTTCAAAATCGTTGCCATGGCAACATCTGAAATATTTCAGGATAGATTAACTTGTGTTTATAGATAATTTTTGGATTAAAAAATGTTGAAAAAACTAAAATTTGGATCAATCTACATGTATCACATATTAATCCAGACTTTTAATTTTTAAATAAGTTTTACTAGTTGTCATAGCAACTATATATGTCCATGTATTGTTCTTTTGTTGTAAAAAGAGACATAATTATGATCTTCATATTCGATTTTAATAAAAAAAATTTAATTAGCTCAACATCGATTAATTTGATACTTTCATTAAAAAAATCTTAATGTGTTAATGTGATCATTGCTACATGCACAGTTGTCATGGAAACCTTTCAAACTTTCATTTGATATAATATGCTATATAATGTTTTATGCGTGTGAGTTTTAAGTACTAATACTGGTCTTTTTAAGATCAGACAGTGGGTGAATCATGGTCACATTGTAATTCAAACAAGACCCCATCTCTACATCATATGAGACAATATTGAGAAAAGGAATGTATCGTAGTTTATTATAAAATATTTGACTGGTTTCCATGGAAATAGCCATGTTGAATTTTCCTTAGCAACAAGTTTTTCAACAGCTGTTTACACAATGGACTAAAGAGCATATTTTTCATTTGACAGTGGGAAAACAAAATTAGATTGAAATGTTTTTAATATTTTTACTTTGGTAAAGAGTTTATATTACAGGGTATATTTATTTTATGTTTGAATGCCCCACTAATCAAAGAATCTGGGCATATACATGTAGTTTTTGCCCTGTCAACCATTCTGTTTGTTTGTCCACAAAAATGTTAACACTGTCCGAAACTTTAATATTGTTGGGGCTATGGCTTTCATATTCAACATAATTAATGTTTTTCCCTGAAGATCTTTAATTGTGTACCAAAATTTTTGATATCTCGACACTGGAGTAATTTTAAGATCCAATTTCTGAGGAATTTTCGTAATTTTTACCTTGTCCATAACGTGTGAAACTGTGTCAAGTCATTTCCATGGATATATGAATTTATAAATATATATATTTTACCTCTTGACCTTCACCTTGGAATTTGACCCATTTTGACTCTGGGAATAACTTTTGAGCAGTTACTATTCGCACTGTATGTTTCATAAGTGTATTCAATTCAACAAGGCCCTCCCCACACATGCAAACAATATTGACATTTTGATCTTGGATGTTGAAGTATTTTTGAGAAGCTATTAACAATGGCCATAACAATGATAATCGGTTTAAAATTTTAGTATCAATATTTCACTTGTATAGTTCTTGTAAGGCCTTCTTTTTTGTACTTCTTGTTTGTACCTTTTATTTCACCTTTCCACCTTGACCTTGGATTCTGACCAACATTTAACCGTAGCCACGACTGTGCCAGGGCTTCCATATTTCACAGGTACATTCATTGAGACAGGTCGTTTCTCTGAGTAGCAACACTTTTCATACAAAAGTGATTGTTTTTTTTAAAAAAAGAACAAATCTGGGTTTTGAAATATGATACATATGTTTTTATTCAGTTAAAACAATTTGATAAGTATTCAATGTTGAGATCATTTTGACATCAAGCTTGCCCATTACTATTACTGAATAAACACTAACAAGAGGCCCATGGCCCACATCCCTCACCTGAGTAACTCTGGTGAAGCAGTTCTTTTTCCCCTCTTCTTATATCTATGGTGGCCCTCTATCCCCCCCCCCCAGTTTAGAATCTACACTACCACAGGATGCATCCACCAAAATTTCAGCTTTCCTGGCTCAATGGGTCTTGAGAAGATTTTTCCTATATATTTCTGTATCAAACTTGGATTCCCTATTGTGGCCCGCCCTACCCCTGGAGGGCATGATTTGAACAATTAGAATTTACACTACCCCTGGATGCTTCTAAATAAGTGTAAGCTTTCCTGGCTCACTGGGTCTTGAGAAGATTTTTCCTTTATATTTCTGTATCAGAATTTAAACTCCCCATCACCCAAGGATGCTTTGTACCAAGTTTGGTCAAAATTGCCCCAGTGGTTCTTGAGAAGAAGTTGAAAATGTGAAAAATTTACAGACGGACGGATGTACAGACTGATGGTCTATAGACAAAATGTGATTAGAAAAACTCACTTGAGCCTTCAGCTTAAGTGAGCTACAAACGGGATTTTACCTCAGAATTTAAACTGTAAAATTCTACACAAGGTTAGGAGAAGTCTACTGCACCAAACTTAAAAATCACATGGAGGACTGTACATGAAAATCAAAGGGAAAATATATAGAGAACAATAGCGTGCAACTATCTTTAGTACACGTGTAGATATATTCCTATCTTTCAGTTTTTGTAGGCAGACTGTTTCACAACCTCACATGCTCCCTGTGATACTTCACTTTGAATTTGAAAAAGATCCACTTTTGGTATAGTTGGGAAATGGATATAAGTGAGAAGAGAAGCTACTGTACGCATGTTGATGTCTATAAGCCATGGTTTCAGTAGATTTTTTCTCTTCATTTTCTATGCATGCATCTACAACCACTCTGACTCTTTACTTGACAGATTTCAGGGACTGTTCAATAACCTGCAAAAAGAATAAAACATGCAAAAATTAAACCAATTAAGTTATAAATTATTTGAAAATACTTGAAACATACCATGAAGCTGAAAGTATTATAATATAAGTACATGTAGTTATTATCCCCAGCTTAAGGAGAGGGTCGTATATTGATTTATCCTTGTGTGTCTGTCTGTCCATATGTCTGTCAGTAGCAAATTTTTAGTAGCAGTTTTTCAGCAACAACTCATCTCAGATGCTTGAAAATTTTGCATATTCTTCACCGAGGCATGCCATCTGATGTCAACTTCCTGTTTGTGCATCTGTTCATACTATACATAAGAAATTTTCATAACAACTTTCTCAGCAACTACTCATTGCAGATGATTGAAACTTGAGGACATTCTTTGATGAGGCATGCAATGTGATAGCATTAAAATCATTTTTGTAATCTTACTATTTATCCCCGCATCTGCCCGTTACTGAACTTGGGTAATATTAACATGATAGTGTATATTGACATCAGAGCGAGGGTATTACTAGTGTGCATTGGCTCACATACTCTTTTTTACATCTCTTTTAAGGTAAGTCACTCCTGAAATTTGTTATATCAAGGATTTTTTGAGAAGTATATTTTGGATAAGTACTCATAAAGTGTAACTCAAAATCGCAAAGAAAATAGGGGGTCAGTGTGCATCCTACTGATCTACGGTACATTTAAGTTGACCTTTTTGCACTTAAATTTCATCTCTTTGGTTAATTACTTTAACCCTTATTATATTTGATTAGATGTAAGCATGGCAATAAATATAATCTTATTTTACGAAAAAAAGTTTGAATAATATTTATCATTAAACAAATCTTGCAAATTAATGCGCGTAAATTATTGTGTGACCTTTTTGCACTAAAAAATAACATATTTGGGGTATTAAAAAACTTGATAGGCAATAAAAAATTTTCTTATATCAAACTTTTTACGATTTGAGTGCTGATCAGTCACAAGTATCGAGTAGTTTAAAATAATGAAAGAAAAAGGTGGGGTCAGTGATGTTAATTTTGAAATATTTGTCAAAATATGTGATTTTCAGGCAAAAAATGGTGTAAATTTGACCTTGACTTCTTTAATATATTTTCATTTTTTGGAAAAGTTTGTTGAGGGAAGGTGTAAAACTTAGTCTAAAAATATAAATTAAGACCTATATTAAATATTTTTAGCAATATCAAAACGGAAAATATTCTCCGAGTAAAAGTATGTGAGGCTAAATGTCAATTACATTAAATTTTATAAATGTGCAGATTTGCAGAATTTTCTGCTAAATATCCTTCCACCAAAAGAAATAGTCCCTCATAAATCTTGCTTCTTT